CTACACTAAAGCTCTAGCCTCTCTGAAAGATTTGCTTCCACCCATTCCTGCAAGACCCATTCCTAATCCCCCTCCAAAAGGTCATGATCCCTTTCAGAAGTGCGACTGTTACTCATGGGTGCCGGGTCATTCTACCGAGAACTGTTTTTCTCTCAAGCATAAAATTCAAGATCTCATAGAAACAGGTATGCTTAACTTGGTGAAGACCGGAGAGCCCAATACTTTGAATAATCCATTACCAAATCATTCCACCAATATGGTTTCCAAGGAGGATATAGATATGATTAGCCTGAATGACTTAGATTTCAATCCCACCATATTCATTGGAAGGCTTGGAGAGGTAGTATGTGTCAAAGCCACTAGAGCTCGAGACACTGGTATCCACGTGGTGGACATAGAAGCAAAAATCAGGCTTTTATTAATTTTGGCTACAAGACTATTGCTTGCTGCACCCACATTTGGCCGTTCTAAAAAGGCCACATTGCTTGCTCCCAAAGCATTTTCTCTACCTGTCCTAGAATCCGTCACAATTGTAATCCCAAGACAATTGCCTATCAAAGACACCCGCCAAGTACCGTGGAATTATGATGTCGAGATAATAACGGAATCCGGCAAAAAAATTGCTTTAGAAGATCAAGTTGTTACTGAGATTGGAGGGTTTACAAGATCGGGGTAGGTACTGCACACCTGCGGAGCTTGAACAACAAAAAAAAGGAAATAATAAGGTGGATGACTAAGTTAAGCAACCTATTACTCAACAACAGACTGCTAAATTTCTCAGAATCCTAAAGAGGAGCGAGGACAATGTAGTGGAACACCTTAGTAAGATATCGAGTTAAATCTCCTTATTGCAACTTCTCCTTACTTCAGAAACACACAGAGAGGCTCTGTTGAAAGTGCTTCATAAAGCCCATGTTCCAAGCAGTGTCACAATCAAGTAGGTAGAAGAAATAGTAGGCCATGTGTTAGCCTACAATGCCATAACTTTCACTGATGAAGAGCTACCTCCTGAAGGAACCCAACATACCCAAGCTTTCCATATCACTGTAGAATTCAACAATCTATTAGTAGGAAGGGTAGTCATCAACAATGGGTCTGCTCTCAATATATGTCCACTCGCTACTCTTAAGTGGATGGAGATGGAAAAACATGTTCGCCCTATCAATACAGTGTTAAGAGCATTCGATGGAGCCCGACGGGAGTCACTGGGCCAAATTGATCTTTCAATTATGATGGGCCAACAACATTTGATGTCCGGTTTCAGGTGGTTAACATTCCAACTTCTTACAACCTCCTGTTAGGTAAACCATGGATCCACAATGTAGGGGCAATCCCCTCGAGTTTGCACCAAAAAATTAAGTTCATTATTGACAATCAGTTGATTACTGTTCATGCTGAGGATAATTTGGCTGTTCATTCTTCACCAAGTTTTGCTATAAACTCTAAAATCAAGACAGAGCCATCTTCTTGTCAAACCTTCGAGGTAGACATGACCTCTATTGATTTGATAAAGGCTAATGCACCATCTGGTTACCAGATATCCCGAATTGCCACAATTACTCACATACCTTAAGGAAGCTATCTACTGCAACCACAATTCTCCAAAAGTGCCCGCATGATGGCCCAATACTTCAAAAAGTGCGGATACAAGCTCGGGCAAGGACTAGGAGCACATTCTCAAGGCGACCCTCACCTCATCAGAATCAAGCCAAATCAACATCATCATGGGCTAGGGTATCACCCAACGAAGGAGGATTGTCAGGGAAGGAAAGGGAAAAATGCATCATCTGACAGGACATTCAGGCAGCACTTTGAATCAAGACCCTCGAGGATGAGGGGACCCATTGTTTGGGACACCATTGCATTGAAGAAGAAGCCTCCTGTCAAACCACCTCAGCTACATGCTAATCCTATTGAACCAATCACTCTAATAGGAGGGGGAAACAAGTTTAAGGACATTTCCAAGGAGATGCCAAACACGGATTGGATAGAGGCATTCACCAATTTGAATATCAGAGATCTTTTTGAGCCAGACAACCACATAGCCATGCTTCATTCCACTCCACTACAGCCACCCACTTCCACCACCAAGCCAAGCAAATGGGAAGCAGTCCCACTCTTCACACCGAAGAAGTTTCGGTAAAGGGGAAAGCCTTGTGACTTTCTCCAGAGCATCTTATTTTAGTATTATGTTACAAAGTTTGAGTTACTAGTTCCTGCTGTAATGAGTTTTTAAAGTTTCTATTTTAACAATGAGCTTCGTATAGCTCCAAAATTTTAAATAAAATGTAACTCATATCTTATTATAAATAAAAAGCAACTTCTATTTCTCTAAATCAACATCTTTATTTTTTTCATATTGTCAGGATGCCATATATGGAATGCTGTGATCTCATGGATGTTTCTGTCTTCGATTCTGATACCTATGACTTTGACATTAAGCACAATCTAGACCAAATAAGTTTTGATCAAGATGACTTTGATGATGCACCGCAAGAATTAATAGATATGATTAAATACCAAGACAAATCCAACTCTCCAAACATTGAAGACACTAAAACCATTGATGTAGGAACTACAGAATTTCTGAAGCAACTCAAAATTGGCAAGATCTTAACTAAGAAACAACGTGATGAGATGATCCAATTTTTGATTACATACACGATGTTTTTGCATGGTCATACCAGGATATGCCACGGCTTAACACCAACATTGTAGTACATAAACTACCACTTAAGCCTGATGTAAAGCTAGTTAAGCGGAAACTACAAAGGCTTAAGCCCGAGTGGAGTCTTAAAATCAAGGAAGAGGTCACAAAATAATTCGAAGCCGGTTTCTTAGTAGTATCTAATTATCTGGAATGGTTAGCTAATGTAGTCTCGGTACCTAAAAAAGTTGGAAAAGTTTGAATGTGCCTTGATTATCACGATTTGAATAAAGCCAGTCCGAAAGATGATTTTCCACTTCCCCACATTCATGTACTGGTAGATAACACAGCAAAGCATTGCATGTTCTCCTTTATGGATGGGTTTTTGGGATACAATCAAATTAAGCTCGTCGAAGAAGACCGTGAGAAAACTACATTCATCATACCATGGGGCACTTTTTGTTATCGGGTCATGCCATTTGGCCTCAAAAATGTTGGGGTAACGTATCGAAGGGCTATGAAAACCCTTTTCCACGATATGATGCATAAGGAAATTGAGGTATATGTGGATGATATGATTGCTAAATCTGTTTACGAAGAAGACCACCTCATTAATCTGGGAAAATTGTTCAGACGACTTTGTAAGTATCAATTAAAGCTCAATCCAGCAAAATGCATCTTTAGGGTATCCTCAGGCAAACTTTTAGGTTTTATAGTCAGCTATAGAGGCATTGAAATTGACCCTTCCAAAATTAAGGCAATTCTTGATATGCCACCCCCTAAGACTTAAAAGGAGGTTCGATTTTTTCTGGGAAAACTGAACTTTATAAGTCGTTTCATAGCTCTACTCACGAATATTTGTCAGCCAATATTATGCCTTCTCAGAAAGAACCAACCTATATCTTGGGATGATGTTTGTCAAGAGGCCTTTGATAAGATAAAGGCTTATCTAATTAATCCTCCAATTTTGGTACCTCCAGAACCAGGTAGACCACTATTACTCTATCTCTCAGTGCTTGATGCTTCAATGGGTTGTGTCTTAGGAAAACATGATAAGGCTAGGCGTAAAGAACAAGCAATATATTACCTCAGTAAGAAATTCACAGATTATGAATCTCGCTATTCTCCCTTGGAAAGAACTTATTATGCCTTAACATGGATGGCTCATAGGCTTCGCCATTACATGCTTTCTACTACAATATTTCTTATAGCAAGGATGAATCCTTTGAAGTACATCTTTGAAAAACCTTTATTGATGGGATGTATCTCAAGGTAGCAGATGTTGTTTGCAGAATTTGATATTGTATATGTCACACAGAAATCAGTTAAAGCTGGGGCAATTGCAGAGTATTTGGCTGAGAATCCTACAGATGACTATTGACTAATGGAAACTTATTTCCCAAACGAAGCTATCCTAGTGGCCATAGAGGAAAAAGAGATTGAGCAAGAAGTCAAGTGGAAGATGTATTTTGATGGGGCTGAAATGAAAAAGGGGTTGGGATTAGAGTAGTCATAGTTTCTAATGTCAGCTTGATGCATTATCCGATAGCCACCAAATTGAAGTTCGACTGTACAAATAATATGGCAGAACATGAAGCTTGCATAATAGGCCTTCAGGCAGCATTGGATATGGATATCGAAAAACTTATTGTATTCGGTGATTCGGAGCTCATAATTAATAAAATTACTAGTGAATGGCAAGTCAAGGACTCAAAATTGTTTCCATATAATAAGTATTTGATTGGACTATGCAGGCAATTCAAATATATCGAGTTTCACCACGTTTCTCGTACTCTCAATCATTTCGCTGATGTATTGGCTACACTCTTATCAATGATAACAATCTTTGATAAGGAAGATCTTCCTCACATTGAAATTGGAGTCAGTTACCGACCGGCCCATTGCATGGCATTGTAGGAAGAACTAGATGGCGAACCATGGTATCACGATATAAAACAATTGTTGGAAAAACAATTGTTGGAGAAACAAGTTTATCCTAAGGGAATCACGACCGAGAATAAGAAGACCATTCACAAAATGGCCTTACAGTATTTTGTTAGTGGATATACGCTCTATAAGAAAACACCAGAAGGCCTTCTTCGATGTATAGACGCCGGAGAAGCAAAAGAGATCATGTCTAAAGTTCACGAAGGAGTTTGTGGTCCACACATGAATGGACATTTGCTTGCTAGAAAAATCCTCTGCACGGGATATTACTGGCTTTCCATGGAAAAAGGACTGTTATGATTTCGTTAGGTGTTGTCATAAATGCCAAATACACGCATACTAAGTTCATGCACCGCCTAATGAACTTCATTGTATGGTATCACCGTGGCCGTTTTCCATGTGAGGGATGGATGTCATCGGCCCTGTCACTCCAAAAACATCAAATGGACACCGTTTCATCTTTGTGGTGATAGACTATTTTACCAAGTGGGTCGAGGCTGCATCTTACACCAGAATCTCAAGAAAGACAATAGAACATTTCTTAACGCATAATGTGATATGTCGATATGGGCTCCCCGAGGCAATTATCTTAGACAATGCTAAAAATCTCAAGAATGATCTTATTGAATCTGTGTTCAATCAATTCAAAATCACCAAACATCACTTAGTCATATATCGCCCACAGATGAATGGAGCAGTGAAAGTAGCCAATAAGAACATCAAACAAATCTTAAGGAAAATGACTGACACACACCAGGATTGGCATAAGAAACTGCCATTTGCAATTATGGCTTACCGCACCTCAGTTTGCACGTCAACTAGGGTAACTCCTTATTACCTCATATATGGAATGGAGGTGGTATTGCCAATAGAAGTATAAATACCTTCCCTGCATATCTTAATGGAGGCAGAGTTAAAAGAAGTAGATTGGGTCCAAGCTCGATATGACCAACTATGTTTGATAGATGAGAAGCGACTTAGAGTAATTTTTTATAGTCAATGTTATCAACGTTGCATTGCTAAATCCTACAGTAAGAAGGTTAGACCTTGTCATTTCAAATGGGGTAACCTCGTTCTCAAGAAAATCCTCGCGTGTCAAAATGAAACAAAAGCTAAGTTCGCCCCTAACTATGAGGCGCCCTTTGTGGTCAAGAAAGTTCTATTTAGAGGTGCTCTCATCCTAACCGAGATAGACGGGGAAAAGTTCCCTCAACCTCTTAATTTTGATTCAGTCAAACATTATTATGCATGATTTGTTATGTTCGGCTAATATGACGGATGGCCTTCCTTCTTTTCTTACTAATCCTCTCTCAAATGTATCCCCTTTCAAAAAACAAAAGAAAAAAAAACAAAAAAAACCAAAAAAAAAAAAGAAAAAGAAAAAGAAAAGGTAAATGAAAATTACTTTCAAAGACTACGCCCCTGTAATGCTGGGGCAATACCTATTACCTATTCTCTTGAACCTCTTAAAGTCCATCCTGACTAGCCGAAGTTTTAATGCTATATTCTATTTATATATATATATATATATATATATATAATAAATAAATAAAGCCGGACTCAATGAAAACCCACTTAAAGGCGCTAAGGGTAAAAAAGTGCAAGAATCGGACTAAGTGAAAACCCAAGAATGGGCGCCAAGGGTAAAAATGCAACCAGTCTCGGCAAAAACCCTTCTAAGGGCACTGAGAGCAAAAATGGTAGGCCAGACTTAGTGAAAACCTGAAAGGGCGCTAAGTGCAACAGTATGGTCATAAAAATAAAAAAATAAAAAAATAAAAAAAAATTAATCGACAGGACCTGAACTACGTTTGACCTGATTCTCACTATAATGAGATACACAGGTAGCGCATATTGTGACTGGGTTTGGTTATATCTATTTTATATACCACTACCATTCCAACTTCAAGTACCCTTGTCATTCTATTGATTATTGTGGTGTGGTCTGAGGAGATATCGAAGGTCATGACACATGAGGAAAAGGTTGAGCAAAATGTCAAAGTCAAAGGTGAAAGGATCAATGGACAACAAACAAACATGAAGAGCAGTATCCGTTTGTGGCACTTGAAAAAATTTTAAGTTCTTTATTTTATTTCCTTTCGAAACTCATAAGCAGGAAAGGTACATTCATACTTGTAATAGAGGCTAAATTAAAAGCTCAAAAAACTCTCAGAATAACTCCAAAATCTCAAAGCCTAGGTCCCTATATCTACCAAGTGCACCATTAACTTGTTCCTTGTCCAAACTTTGGAGGTCCAGTACTCGACCCTTCACTGTCTCGGTCTTTATGATTAGTTCATCCCGCTCCGCTATCAAGGAGAGAACTTGAGCCCGTAGAGCATCTTCCTCAATCTTAAACCTTGTCTCATCGCGAACAAAAGCCTCAAGGAACTTTGTGTGTCTACCCTGAATAGTCTTAACAAGGTTTACATAATTCTCAGACTTAGATATGATCATACCTGAAGTCAAACAATCTAGCACAGGAGGTAGCACCCCAATCACACTATCTAACCACCTGTCATATTGGGAACGGTTTCGGTGCTATTCAAGTCCTCGTAGGGGAGCTCAGTCCTATAAAAGTGTCACCCTTTCAATTTTGTCTTTGCTTTCTCTAACCTTTCCTTGCTAAAAGTGTCGAAATAATCAAAAAAGAAATATCCCCAGTCCTCCTCCTGTGGTACTAATTGTTCCCATCCGAACTGACGATGCACTCTTGCAGGTACATACGGAACCACTCCATGGGGCCCAAGTAAAGGAATAAAATGCATTGTGGCACCTCCAATGAATACATCTCGACGACCCACTAGGCCATTACACCACTGAATATCAGTTGGTGATCTATGGTTCAAGAACTTCACCCACTCGTCGTAATCCCGAGGAAGCTTGAGCTTTGCCATACATGATTGGTGGGAAGGAAGCATGTCCCATTTTAGCCAAATATGCATAACATTGCACTCCGGTGGAAAAAGATGTTCAAATTCCCATACTTGAAGAAGAGCGGCACAACCGGTAAAAAAGGAGTCATGGCCCAGTCAACACTTAGTCAACGAACGCAGTGTTTCAGCAAGAACCAGTGATACGAAAGACTCTCCTAACAGCACTTTCTCCACAATAGCAAATAAAGAACCATCGATCCTTCGATCATGACGAGGGCACAAGACCTGGCTAATTAAGCATAGTCCCAAGGTAGCATGTCAAGATCGTTTCCAACCGTCCATTTTCGCAACAAAGTCACCTTGGTGAGATGTAAAACCCGAGGTAAAAGCAAAACGTTGAAGGATAAAACCCAAGGAACAATTGCCATCGGAGGCGAGCTCAAGGGATTTCCTCTTCATAGTAAGAAGATGACTCAAAATATGCTTCTGGCCGCTTGAAAATTCATGACATGCAAATTTAGAAGACAAGGAACCAACAAAAAGAATTCTGTGGAATTCCTCCGAAGTAGGCAGTAGCTCGCATTTCCCAAAACGAAAGACCAAGGCAGTGGGATCCCAAAAGGATATCAAAGCACGGATAAAGGAGACATCCACCTTAATCGTCGCGAGAGACTGCAAGTAGCCAAAATTGGTTTAAAATTTTTGTTCATCAGGGTCATTCAGATTCTTGCACCAAGTCTGTAACATGGATTGAAGGGGAAAAATCAGCCAGTTAGTCTGGAGATTCATAATATTTGCAAGATAATAACACTTACAGCCTTTGGAATATGGATGATGCACACAGTAGAGGGTCAAGGCCGTATCCTTCATTATATATGCATTCTGTACATATAGGACCCTAAAGCAAAAAGGAAATAAAATAAAACAGAATAAAATAATAAAACAATTTTAAACTGCACTCCGCTAATAGGGGCAACAAATCGGATGCTCGCCGCAAATTCATAGGAATAACATCAATAAAGGAAAAGATAGCTAGACTGCTAACATATGGTAAATATGGCATGCACCAGAAAAAGCACTTAGCCAGCAGCCTATATATATATATATATATATATATATATATATATTCGTGAGGACTAATAAATGCTCTCATTACAAAAAAGCATATATATAAAAATTAGCTAATCATGATGACAGTAAAAATAACCCATAACATGGAGTGCCCATTTCATGTAGTGCCCATTTTAACTCTCACAGTTATACAAAAGGAACCTGTTCATAGGATGGCAGTAAAAAAATAGTAATGATAATAATAAAAAAAAAGTAAAAAATAAAATAAAATGATAGTAATAGGTAAGGTAAATATATATATATATATATATATATATATATATATATATATAATAATGATAAGTAAAAGAAGGACACAAATGTTCCTTGTACAAACTAGGAAAAGCTAACGACAGTTTTGTGCCAACCACAGTGCAAAATGGACGGGTCTACTTCTTTGTTGGCCATTATGTTGTAATATTGAACAAAGAGGGGCAGCTGTAGACACCCCATTTTGCCCTACCCATTAATTCGGACATTTCGATAAATTTTTATTAAAAATGATAATATTATTTATTTATTTTTAATGGCTATCGATCTTCTGAATCCATCACGCGTATAAATATATATTTTTTAAATCACGTTGCATAGAATAATATTTTTCTAAAAGGTTATATGTATATATATTTTTTATATAGAAGGGGCATATCCACTGATATTATATTCTTTATAGTTTGAACTTATATTTTTCTGTACTTATATTTTCTATACTACAAAATTGGTGTTAATATACAAGCTCATAACTTTTATTGCTTTTCTTTATTTTATTTAATTTTTGCATGTGTCATATATATATCTATTCACCAAGTAACCCTACTCGCTAAGCTAGGAGATAAACCCACTTAATGTTCAAATAAATAGATCATGCAATTGTGTGCTATATACGTATAATGAATAAAATATAAAATATATATATAAAGTAAGTAAATAAACATATTGATAAGCATATAATGCTTGTCCAGAATGTTATTGTCCGGTCAAAATAGGATTTGCATTAAGTAAAGAAAAGATATGATATATATATATATATATAATCACTTACATTCGGCCCAGGCATTAAGCCACGGCCTAAGGCCATGATCTCTCTATGGAAACAGTGTTAACAAAAATAGGTTAAGAAAATAAAATAAAAAATTTACTTTATTAATTCTTTCATCTAAAAAAATTAAACCAATCTCTTTTCCTTAAGAATAAAAAATATGGTACCGGTATAACTTTGTGCATCTTAAATTATATATCAAATATTATGTATTTCCCAATATAAAAGAAAATACTACATCTCTTCTTATCTCAAATGCATTCTCATGATTAAAATTATAAATTTTTCCTCATGCTTATGATTTTGATCCACATCCAAAAAAATCTAAAGCATAAGGAAAAATTTATAATTTTAATCATGAGAATGCATTTGAGATAAGAAGAGATGTAGTATTTTCTTTTATGTTAGGAAATACATAATATTTGATATATAATTTAAGATGTATAAAGTTATACTGGTACCATATTTTTTATTTTTAAGGAAAAGTGATTGGTTTAATTTTTTTAGATGAAAGAATTAAGCATCTTAATTTTAAAATAAAAAAGAAAAAAAAAAGAAGTAATAACAAAATATAATTTATTTGAAATATATGTATTGGATCAAAAAATCATTTTACACGTCTATATTTTTAAGAAGTTAAGACATTTATAAAGTAAATAACAAAGAAAAAAAAAAAGTAAACAATATAAAGTTTTTTTTATAATTTTTTTTTATGTATAAATTGTTCATGAGGGTAGATTGGTCCAATGATTTTAGTAGTTGTAGGCGCCCTCCCTTTGCGTTCTTGGCCAACCGATCCCATGCCATGCCTTTACTTTTCAATGTCACTAGGAAGATTGTCTAATCGTTCTGCTT